ACCAAACTATATTTTACCATGTAAAGCTAACTTAAACCAAGTTAGAAATGGAAAAATAGTTTGGAACCCTTTTCTATAGGCTTAAACCCCTGTAGTTACCCCTTTTCAGCATTCTCCACCCCTTAACTGGTAGTTGTAGCTGTTCCCAACCATAATAGCTTACACACCAGATGCATATAGTTTAAGGCCTTATGTAAAATCCCCTTCATAAGCCCACCTTAAACCACATAATTGCATGACACATTGAACCAGAACGGCACAGGCTGGACGTCGCTGGAGACAACCTTCGCTGGAGGCGACCTGCAATCCTGACGTTGGTCTCCACTCTTCATCCAGTGGCCGCTTCTTCAGTTCAACCCAAGGGTACCCCTCTGTATGCTGATTAATCAACACTTCCAATCGCTGTGGATTTACCGTTGTGGATTATATGACTTTTTCCAATGGATTACAGACTCTGTTTCCAAGGGGTTAAAGCATTGCTACAATGGAATTATCGAGACGATATGGAATTATAATCAACACAATGGAATACCAAGAACATTGTGGAATTACCTTGACTTTGTTTCCTTGCTGGATTACTTCTGACTTTGGTCTTCCTTGCTGGATTACTTTTGACTTTGGTCTTCCTTGCTGGATTACATCAAGCTCAAGGACATTTGAAGGTCTAAGTTCACGGTTGGAATTCATCCCCATGGACAGGTGATGATTTCCAAAGGGGGGACTGTAGTGAACCTGATCTGACCCTGATCTGACCCTGATGACCTCAAATCTATCAGATGGACAGAGACTGTTATTTCATTGATCTGAATACAGTTAGAGCCATCTGGTGACTCTCTTTCTTGAATTAATCAAGCAGAAAAGACAATTTTTATAATCATCACTGTTTTACAAATGTTTGATAATCAAATTGTGTTAGTTCACTCAATGTTTACAGGTTGAAGAGAACTACTCATTTTTATTTTACATAAACAGTAAGTAATGATTTTTATTCCTCATTCAAAGAAGAAATCAGGTTAATATGCTTTTCTTGATTTTCTGTCTGAAATGAGCCAAGTTTGTAAGTATGTTAAAGGTCGGTTTTCGGTCAACTAAAATGTTTACCGAGAAAAATGTCATGTTTAAACTTTTTCAGAAGATAATAAGGGTGAGACTCCACGAAGTCTGAAGTCCTACAATAATCTTTCTGTTTGTTACTAAACAATCCTTGACTTTTAATAACATCTTACATCATAAACCACACCTCTATTCCTGGTCCATCGACCAATCAAAAGCTCTCAAATGACCCGGAAGTCGACCCATTTAAAATGTGGCAACTTCCCAGTTCATGTGGGAGTTAAGGAGATGAAAGAGTTGAAGGAGTTGCAAGAAGCTGAGACGCTGAGTTGCTGGAGTTTGTTGGTTGCTGTGTTGCTGTACTCAGAAATGAGTTCAACTAGAGAGCGCACAGAGTGATGGAGTTAGAGCTCTTGGATGCAGACGCGTTCAGGATGATCCAGAGACGTTTTGGAATTATAATTTCTGTTTGAACACCACGCACGACTCTCGAAGGATTTCAGCTGCTCTCAACGGAGACGCTGAAAGAGTCTGAAGGATTCTATACCGACATTGAGTCATCGTCAACCAGGTAACAGTTTCTTCTTCGACTAAAGTGTACCGGAAGCAAGCTGAGATCTGATGGAGCGTGCACGTTCTGGTCATAACAGATTAATTCCCTCACATATCTCTCTGTAAGATAAATCTCCATCTTAAACTCTGCTTTCTCATAAAATCAGTACAGATAATTTAGAAATATCTGAAGCAAAGTCCTCAATCACCGCCGCGTGATTGAAGCTCATTATCTGTGAAACTTGTCTGTTATTATTTTCATATTTTGCCAAATTAATGTAAATGTTTGATGTTAAACTTTGATTCTGAAAATAAATGACCGCATTCATTTTGATGGGTCAAAGATAATAACGTCTCTCGTTCGCATTTCTGTTAAAATTCAATGCACGACATTACACAGTCAGAAAGATGAGGAACTCGTGAAAATTGTATGCATATATCTCGTATATGTACTACTACAGCACCGTCTCAGAGTGGATCAACCAGTTTTGCTGCTGACAACCAAAACCAGCTGATCACATGCTCAAGAAGGACCATCAGCCTAACAATGGATCATTAGCACGAGAATGCATTGCAGGTTGGCTTTCTTGGACTGTGAGGTTTCAGTCTCTGATAGAGGACATTTGCAAACTGAGGTGTACCGCAAACCCACCCACACAGACCAGTATTTGCAGTTTGACTCCCATCACCCTTTGGAGCACAAGTTAGGAGTCATCAGGACTCTGTATCACAGAGCAGACAACGTCCCCACTAACTCGGGAGCCAGGCAGAAGGAGAAATCCCACACAAGACAGGCTCTAGAGCAATGTGGATATCCTAACTGGGCCTTCCTGAAAGCAGAGAAGAAACCCAAACAGGACTCCAGTCAGCCAACAGGTGAAAAGGAGAAACCCAGACCCAGACCAGTGGTCATTCCATATGTTGAGGGAGTATCAGAGAAACTGAGACGTTTATTTTCTAAACATAACGTCCCAGTGGCTTTTAAACCCCAAAATACATTACGGCAAAGACTGGTTCATCCCAAAGATCCAGTCCCCCGTTGCAAATGTCCTCTAACAGAGACTGAGACCTCACAGTCCAAGAAAGCCAACCTGCAATGCATTATCGTGCTAATGATCCATGGTTAGGCTGATGGTCCTTCTTGAGCATGTGATCAGCTGGTTTTGGTTGTCAGCAGCAAAACTGGTTGATCCACTCTGAGACGGTGCTATTTAAGAGACTGAGCTGAATACAGCACCTCAGACTGAGGAAGTCTCTCAGATGAGAGACGAAACGTTTCTACATTTTTTTGTTGATTTGCTTTGTTTTGTTTTTTGTTTTTTTGA